GAAACGGCGAGATCGCGAGGATCATCCCGAACCACATGGGAACTCAACAGTCAGCTGGCCCTTCTTGAGGCCCTCCGTGGATCTTCTTGGGGCCCTCCTGCGGCGTCTTGGGGCGTTGTGGTGTCATCCGGGGTGTTTTTGAGGTCTCTCCGGCGTGCTGGAGCCACTTTGGCGGCATTTGGAGCCACTTTGGCGTGCTGGAGCCACTTTGGATGGCTCTTGCTGGAGCCACTTTGGCGTGCTGGAGCCACTTTGGCGGCATTTGGAGCCACTTTGGAGGCCTCGCCGGCGTGCTGGAGCCTCTCCGGCGTGCTGGAGCCGCTTTGGATGGCATGTGGGGCACCTCGGCGGCCACGGAGGGCCCCTCTGCCCGCCCGTGCCCTCGCCCCCCCTGCCTCCCCCCTATACTGTGGCATCTTGGACCCCGGAGAGGAGGAAAGGGGGGGGAGGACAGCCAAATACTCTTCTCTCTCCCATATATATATATATATATATATATGGATATGACTTTGTGTATATATCAAGCTCCCTCTCTCTTATTTATTATTGGTGTGTATGTATGTATATATGCGTATGTCTATATGCATGTGTGCATGTATGCATGTATGCATGCATGCATGCAGGTATGCAGGTATGCATGTATGCATGTTTGCATGCATGTTATGCATGCTATGCATGCGTGCATGCATGCATGCATGCATGTATGTATGTATGTATGTATGTATGTATGTATACATGTATGTATGTATGTATGTATGTATGTATGTATGTATGTATGTATGTATGTATGTATGTATGTATGTATGTATGTATGTATGTATGTATGTATGTCGTTATGTATGTATGCGTGCATGTATGCATGCATGCACGTATGCATGCATGTATGTATGTATGGATGGATGTATGTATGCACAGTCAACCCGCAGAGTAAGGATGCGCGATAAGGATGCAAGGCCCTTGGACGCCCATTTCGAAGCGTTTCGAGCGGGGCGCGGCCAACGAAAATGTCCAAGGATGGACCCAGGAAGCAAGGATGCAAGGGTACCCTTTGGAGGGATGCCTATCCTTACTCTGCGGGTCGACTGTATGTATGAATGTGTGTATGTGTATGTACGTATGTACGTATGTATGTAATGGAATGGAATGGCATGGCATGTAATGGAATTGAATGGAATGGAATGGATTGTAATGTAATGTAATGTATGGATGGATAGATGGATGGATGGATGAATGGGTGTATGTATGTGTGTATCTATATGTGTGCGTGTACATTTACATATATGATGGCCTTCGGCCTATCCAGCCACCGGCCTGGATTGTGGGTCAGAGCTATCAGAGATGCTTCTCGGGGTCTCTTCGGAGCGCTCTCGGGGGCAGCTCGGGGACAGTTTTCGGGCCTCCTGGGGACAGTTCTTGGGCCTCTTGGGGGCCTCTTGGGTGTATCTTGGGAGCTTTTTTTAGGCCTCGTGGGGGCCTCTTCGGGGCCTCTTGGAGCCTCTGTGGAGCCTCGCGGGGGCCTCCGAAGGGCCTCTCGAGCGCGAGTGCTCGAAACGCCCGTTCGGCTCACCCGTCTGGGCCCCCATCTTGGGGCCCTTTTGAGCCGTCTTGAAGGCTTTTTGGTCATTTTTGGGGCCCTGCGGGGCCGTTATGGAGCCCTCTTGGAGGCTTCTTGGGCCGTCTTGGGTTTTCTTTGGATCCTCTTCAGCCGTCTTGAAGCGTCCTGAAGACGATCAAGCGAGAAAACCCATATCATTCAAACACACTGCCCGGCGCTACCCAATCCTTGTTTCACGCAAGGCGATTATGTAGCACCCTACAGTTGCGGATAAGTGTGATGGGGCGAGCGCGGGGTGGGTCGTGAGTAGGTCGCGGGCGGGTCGCGGGCGGGCTGCGGGTGAGTCGCGGGTGGATTGCAGATGGGTCGCGGGTGGGTCGGGGTGGGTCGTTTGTGGGTCGCAAGTGGGTCGCGGGTGGGTCGCGGGTGGGTCGCGAGAGGGACGACCACAACACAACGCAACGCAACAACAACACGCACCGCAGAACCCCATTTCGGCCACGCACCCAGGGAAAGTCAATGACTGTTTGGTCCAGTTTGATGTGTATGAACGCCCAATACAAGAACACAATGCGAGGTATGCAGCACTCCGATACTCTTCGCCTGACATTGTCGGGCCACGCGCGCCGCGCACTTGCGCAGGGATGGGCGATTTAGGACAACACCATTCGCTACGTGACCTTCCTGCGCTCTGCGTTCTGCTCTGCAAAAGAGTCGCGCGCTAAATGACGCGACGGCGCCACGCTCCATGTGGGCGCCCTGCAGTCCGTCGTGTCTCACAGGAACCCACGAAAGTGGCGACTGTTGCACAGCTCGCAGCCCCCAAGGGCGCCGCGAGGTCACAAATGCCGCGCGCTGCCCTCACTTTCGCCGTGCGCCCACCAAAGTGGCGACAGCTGCGCAGGTCGCAGCCACCCAGGGAGAAATGAGGTCTCAAGTGATTTGCAATGCCTTCACCTCCGCCGTGCCTCCCGGGAGCGCACGAACGTGGCAACAGTTACGCAGTTCGCAGATCCCGACGGGGCCGCGAGATCTTGAAGGGATCTGCTGTGCCCTCCATTCCAGCGGATCTCCCAGGCGCCCACGAAAATAGCAACAGGCACGCGCTCCGCAGCGACCCAGGGAGCAACGAGGTTTCGTCTGGGTCCGCTTAACCCCCAACTCCGCTGGACCCCCCAGGAGCCCACGAACGTGGACAGTTGTGCAGTCCGCGGCCACCCAGGGGGCAGCGAGGTCTCCTCATGCGCGTGCATATCCACGCCGCTGGAGTTTCCAGGGGCCCACGAAAATGGCGACATGTAGTTCGCAGCCACCCAGGGAGCTGCAAGGTCTTTCTGGGTCCCCGTAGCACCCGATTCCGTCGGACCCCCCACGAACCCCAGAAACTAGCGACCGATGCGCAGATCGCAACCACCGAAGAAACTGGAAAGTTCGGTCTGGGCCCACGTAGCTCCCGACTCGGCTGGACCTCCCTGGAACCCACGAAAGTGGCAACGCTTGCGCAGTTCGCAGCGACCCAGGAATCAGCGATGTTTCGTCTGGGCCCGACTCCGCTGGACTTCCTTGGAGCTCATGAAATTGGTGACCATTTCGCATGTTGCAGCCACCCCACGAGCCGCGAAATTTCGTCTGGGCCCACGTGGCCCACGACTCCGTTGGACCTCCCAGGAGCCACCGGAAGTAGCAGACGCTGCGCAGCTCGCAACCACCCAGGGAGCACCGACGTTTCATCCGGGTCAGCGTGGCCCCCGGTCCCGCTGGACCTCCCAGGAGCCCACGAAAGCGGCGACTGTTGGGCAATTCGAAGCCATCCAGGAATCCGCGAAGTTTCGTCTGGGCCCACGTGGCCCACGACTCCGCCGGACCTCCCAGGAGCCAGCGGAGGTAGCAGACGTTGCGCAGTTCGCGGCCACCGAGGGAGCAGCGAACTCTCGGTTGGGTCCGCGTGGCGCCCGATTCCGTTAGACACCCGAAGAGCCACTGAAGGTGGCGACCGTCGCGCAGTTCGCAGCCATCTAGGCAGCAGCGTGGTTCCATCTGTGTCCGCGTGGCCAGCTGTTCCGCTGGACTTCCCAGGAGCCCACGAAGATGGAAACGGCTGCGCAGCTCGCAGCCATCCAGGGCACAGCGAGGTCGCGTTTCGTTGGACCTCCCAAGGGCCCGCAAAAATGACGACAGTTGCCTTGTTCGCAACCACCCAAGGATCAGTGCGGGAGGGGGCCTCAAAAAGCGTATTGGGGGGCATCCTGGGCAGTCTCGAAACCGGATTGGTTTTCGGACGATTTGTCGGCGACCCCCCCCACTTTCACCCACTAGACCGTATGCATGCTTCAGTTTTCACGTTGCAAATGCCACGGCAGTCATATCGCGTCTACGCCTCAAGTGGCACCACTGAAGTTCCACGGACATCAATCATATTGGGTGTGCGTACACATTTTTTTTACAAGCACCACATGAGGCAGTTCGTATGCATGTTTCAAGTGGTGCCAAGCAAGTTCCGCGTGAGTCATCTCGTATGTATTTGAATCGCACCAAGCTCGAAATGGCGTCCCGTGTTCCTCCTTCAGGGGCCTTTCTTTGAGCATGGTTTGGGGCTCTCGTTTGTTGGTTGAGATCTCGTCGGAGGCCTCTCGGGGGCTTCCCTGAGACTCTTGAGGCCTCTGGGAAGCCATTTTGGCGTCTCTTGGGGTTTCTTTGACCCTGCTGGGGGGCCTCTTGGGGACTCTGGGACCGTTTGGGTGACCTCCTGGGGGCGTCTTGGGGCGGAAGGCTCGAATGTTCCGCTCGCGCTCCGCCTTCGGGGCTTTCCTTGAGGCTGCTTGTGGGCAGTCGGGGGCCGTATGTAGCGCCTCTGGGGCCATTTCGGAGCCCTCTGGGGCCACCTTGAGGTCTTCTTGGAGGCATCTTCGGCCGTGAGCCGTCTTGGGGACCTCTTGGGCCGTCGTGGAGCGCCGGGAACTCGAGAAGTCGTGGGTCCCAAACACATGGGATCCCCTATGGGGAGTCAATGACTTTGGCCTCTCGGGCCCCTTTCCTGGGAATTCTCTTAGGGCTCTCGCGGGGCGCTGCGGAGCCCTCTTGGGCCGTCGTGGAGCCACCTTGAGGACGTATTGGGCCGATTGTGCGGCGATGCGGGGCCCCCGTGGACCGTCTTGGGGAGCTCTCGGGCCCGTCTTGGGGCCGTCTTGGGGCCGGACAGATCGCACGCGAAGTGGCCACGGGTCCCAGGGGCCACGCGGGGTGCCCAGGCAGATCTGGCAGTTTTGGGTCCGAGCCCCTTAAAGAAGCCGCAGAGTTGGGGACTGGGGCTCCAGGGGATCCGACAAGGGCCCTGCGGACACCCCAGCTCGTGCCTCACGGTCACGGTGGCGGATGTACACGTTTTTGAATGTCTGGCTGTTTTTCTCGCTTTCTCTCTTTCTCTCCCCTCTCGTCCTCCCCTGAGGAGTTCGCAGAATTGATGCGTTCATCCAAGGATATTCCCGAGCTTGCCGATGAGTTGACTGACAGGCTCCTCATCTCTTCCTTGCCGCCCTCCGCAACGCAAGTTGTCTTGTCGCCGTACCCCGCCCCGCACATGTTCCAGTAACGTGACGTGGTGGCTGGGTGTGTCCTGGAATCCTGGGAGGGGCACCAGGGCAGCCTTGATCGTTCGCCCGCACGCGGACATGCCAAATCGCGTTCCTCGACTAAGCCCACCTGTGGCTTCCAGATCGGCTCCGTGCCCTTCTCGGCCAGAAGTTATAGCCCGGGGAGCTGCTCATTCTGTCCAGCTGCCTGCGGCTAGTCCCGCCACCGTGCCAGCTCAGCATTCCGGGTCGCGACTCTTCGAGGGGCCGTGGGAGGACGTCACGTGTGACACATCGTGCCCCCAGGCTTGGGTGAGCCGTGATGATGATGATGATGATGATGATGCTGATGATGATGATGATGATGATGATGATTATGATGATGATTATTTTGATGATAATGATGGTGATGGTGATGATGATGATGGTGATGGTGATGGTGATGGTGATGGTGATGGGTGATGGGTGATGGGTGATGGTGATGGTGATGATGATGGTGATGGTGATGGTGATGGTGATGATGGGATGGTGATGGTGATGATGGTGATGATGGTGATGGTGATGGTGATGGTGATGATAATGGTGATGTTGATGATGATGATGCTGATGCTGATGATGATGCTGATGTTGATGCCGATGATGATGATGCTGATTCTGATGATGACGGTGATGATGATGATGATGATGATGATGTTGATGATGATGATGATGATGATGATGATGATGATGATGGTTGCGATGATGGTGGTGATTATGGTGTGACGGAAGAAGGGGAGGGGGAGGAGGAGGAGGAGGAGGAGGAGGAGGAGGAGGAGGAGGAGGACGGGGAGGGTGCGCATGAGGGGAAGGAGGATGATTCGGATTCGGATTCGGAACGCTTGCGTAGCAAGATCAACTGAGATTACCTGGGACGTGGCCCTCGCTCGAATCGCGAAACGTATTCCCTCCTCTTTGTTGGAAATCTGGAGGGGCTTGCTCGCGAGGCGTCGAAGCTGCTCACTCCCGAAACACCCGCAAGACTTACAATTCCAAATGCGGGATTTATCGTGATAAATCATGTGATGAGAGCTGTGCGCCCACCCACATGCAAGATGGACCCCCATACGAGGCTGAAAGATATCCCCAGAAACACAAGCGAGCGATGCGCACCGTGAGCCTAGCCACTCCTCGCGGCGGGCCTTGGTGCTCGAGCTCTTCCAGGTCACGCAGCTCAGCCCGTCCTCGGAGACCACGTGCTCCGATGTGAGGAGAGCAAGGGCGGCGGCGGCGGGCGGATGGGGTGGAAGAGGCGGAGGAGGCGGAGGAGGGGAAACATTGGGGACGGCAGCAGAAGCGTCGGCTTTGGACTTCCGTTTTTCAGCCTGCTTGAGTTCCCTTTATGCGATCACGTTTCCTGACCAAAGTTGTTTTCCGCTCCCACGTGGCAAGCTTGAAACGAGTGTCACTTGAAACGCGATGTTTGTCTGCAGAGCGACCTGCCAGCTCATCGGCAACGGTAATACCTGAGTACATCCAAGTTCTGATATGCCGTGAAACAGCCTCAGACGGGGAAAGATGAGGCGGTACCCATAATCCTGTGATGTGTTCAGATGACCCATCATGAAGATGCCTGTCTATATCTCTCCATCCAGATGCCAGCGCTCCACATGGACTCCTCCACCTTCCCACCATCCACGAACGACCTCATCGTTGTCCGAAACGAAAGTCATGTGGCCAGTAGTAAAACGAAAACCTAGCTCGAGAGCCTGCAAATCTCCTCGGGCCACCGTTTGGAGCAAACCAGCCAGGGGGCCTGAGGTAGTACTAACAACATTGAACGGGTCGAGCGAGCCGAGTTTGACGACGGCCAAACCCACACTCCGAAGACACACGCCGCAGGAGGCCGTGCCTCCCGAAGCGTCCCCGCAGAGAATGATTGGATGCGACGCTGTGCCGTGTCCGAGACATCCTGGGACTAGGCCATTGTTGAGGCCCGTGGTGACCCACTGCTCGCTCTTTGCCGGTGGCTCCACCTTCATCTTGCATCTCGGGATCTACCCACGATGCCCAACTCATGCGTCGACTTCAGTGTGCTGGGTGGCTTCCAAGGTGCGCTCGTCTGAATCAGCATACACCTGATGTCCTGCGTCATGAGAACATGTTTAGCGTCTGTGAAGAGGAGCCTCTGGCTCAGCTTGGCAGCGTAGGCAAAATGTTCCCTGACGAACGTCCTGCTTCGTGCTTACGGGTCTCCAGCCACGCGCCTCCAGCAGCAATGCGAAGAAGCGGCTCGGCGAGTTTCCTCCCATGAGGCACATCCTGCAACGGAGTGGGCCAAAAACGGAGGCTCTGGTTGTCCGCTCCCCCTTTGAGCCCAGCCCACAGCAGTGGTTAGACGCCTCCTTCCAGTTGTAGGGCCTGCAAACCTGAGGAGTAGTCATCCAAGGGCCCCCGGGCCTGGTCCATGGACTGCAACTGGTTAGCATCAAAGTACCACGAGAGATCAGGTCCGTGCCAAACGTGAGGAGCCTCAGGGTCCCACCCCAATATAAGCAGCTGGTGCATAAAAGCTCCAAGGGGATCCCGTGTGTGCTGTGTACGTCTGTTCGGATCTAGCTTCTTCATCTGGTCAAGGCAATATGCCACGCTGCAATCCCTGGCCGCGCTCTATCATTATGTATCCACACATGGAGCCATTGACGTAGGCAAAGTAGCGGATGTCTAATAGCTCTGAGGTCCAAGGCTGTCGTGATGCACCTCCCCCGCTTGTTACTCCCAGACGCTGCTGCTAGACGACGTCGCATGCCTAGTAGATGAGCTCCGAAGGTCCCAGACGCTTGAGTCCCGTAGGAGGCCCCTGCTTGTGGTCCTGGTCGCTCCAAACCCTCGAAGTTTGCCGCTCTGTTGCGTTGTTTTGACGATTCGCTGCCTACGAACATGCCGGGCTTGCCGCTGCCTGCGAACATGCCGGAATGCTTGCGAACATGTCGGGCTGCCCAAGTAAGAAGCTGGCCAAATTGGTGCAATGTCGACGCCCTTCTGCTTTAGCCTCTGGGCGACTCGCTTGGCCACGCGATGGACTGAACAAAGCACCGCGCCCTTGCTTGCGAGCGTCAAAGACTCCTGCTCAAAAAGGGCGGTGAGATCGCTGGCGCTCTTGACCAAGGAGTCTTCCACATGGCGCTTCGAACCGAGCGCGTTGAGATAAAGGCCATCAATCCAAAGCCGCTCCCCCATCACAGGGCTCATGACGTGCATTCGTTCCAAAATGCAGCATGCCAAACATTTGGCAGATCTGGTTCCGCCCCTTATCCCTTGAATGCTAGACTGAGTTGGTTGAGATCCTTCCGACTGTGCCCTTAGCTGCGACGGGATGCGCGCGGCTGCACATATCTGCAGTTTGAGGACAGCAAGACGGGCGGGAAGCCAAGCCTGAGCGCGGCGAGAACGAGATTATTGAATTTGTTGTTGCCATAAAAACTCTCGGCGTCCAAAACCGTTTGGCCGTATGTGGCCTGGAGTTTCTCAGCGATTTCGGCATCCAGGATCTTCTGAACTGCTTCGAGAAGAGGAGAGTTACCTTCGACCGCTGCATCACAGGCTGGCGCCGTGTCGCGCGACCACTGCTTAGTCAAATCATCTCTGGCTAAGCTCCAGATGCTGCATAAAATATGTAAAGTCCGATGGCGCGCCCCCCGATGATTTGGGGTAATTGACGCCCGACGCGTGCCATCATCTGCCGCGGCCAGGTCAGCGCCCCCCTCGATTGCCTCATAAGCCCGCGCGAGATCTTGCAAGCGTTGTCAGGCAGACGTTCATCATCTAGTGGGCTAAGCTAATCTATGCCCATACCTGCTTTTGACTTCATTCTGCTGGCTGCGCTGCGGATCTGACAGGGCCCCAGGGGAACTAATTCCTCGGCTTGAGCGGCTTCACGAACAATGTTAAACAACTCGACCAGGGAATCAGGATCAATAGCTTCAGGGGCCCAAAGAGACTGGAACACTGTTTGACCTCGGCGTCAACTATGCCCTTTGGGTGATACAACCGTTTTCCCTGATCTAGATGCTCTGCTGCGATGGGGCACACCTCGAAGACAGCGATGCGCTGCGCCCAGCGAGCTCTCCTGGGCGATCCAGTCTTGGAAAGACCCTCGCGAAGCCCGAACAGACTGGCGCCCAGAACGTTGTCCAGCTCTCCCTGCATGCGTGCGCGCACGCTCAAGTGCAGCAATGCCATGCTGCGTGGCATCCCCCAACATATGAACCCGATGCTCCCACGAGCAGTTCTGATGGCCTGCAATGACGACTGATTGACACCCCCGGGAAAGTCCCGCGAACTCTTTCGCGCAACAGCGCCGAGCGCCTCGACCTGCTGCGCTCCACTGCCTCGAGCTCTGCGGCGGTGACATCTGCTTAAAACGGTACGAAGCCGTGACCACCGCGTGGCAACTTGGCCATCGTTGGCCATTGAGAGGGATGTCCCTGATATTCGGGGTTGGACAGACCTCCTGCCCTGACACGTCGATTAAGGAATTGGCCGCGTTCGGTTCGCGAGAGGGCGTCGCGGCCGTCAATTTTGCGGGTCCAGGTCCGTCGGTTTCGGTGCCAGGCCGTTTTCACTAAAGGGAGGTTTATTAAAGGGAAGATTGTCCAACGCCGAGATGTGTTCAGCCACATGCGCGGTGCGCATGACATGTTGAGGTACGTCCGCCCCAGACTTCCCTTCGAATGCTTGTCCACGATGCTCCGAGATGCTGCTTCCGACAGTGCGCACCCAAGAGGCATGCACACCACTGGCGCGCATGACATGTGCTCCACCGGCCACAAAGGCACCTGGCGATGCGATGACGGGTCAAACCTGCTTCGGGGACTGGTGACAGAAACCCGCGTTGGCCTTGTCGGTGTCCCAGGGGTCGCAGGGGATGTACGATTGGGGGCCGACCATTTCGGCAGCCTCATCCTTAGAAACACCGGCCTTATGGGGGTCCACCTTCAGCCTCGTTTAAATTGTGGGGGTCCAGGTGGTGGGGCTCTTGATTTTGCTGATTGGCATTGCGATGGGACTGCTGCTGAGACCTAGCTTTAAGACGGGGCTCTTGAGGCCAAGGGTTGGGCTCTTCCCCCCAGACTCCAGCATTCTGAAAAGAGTCAGGACCGACCTGGCTGGCGGCAGCCTGGGGCTCCTGAGACTCCTGCAGCAAATCTCCAAATAGCTGGCCGCAGTCATCCTGAATCTTTTGTTGTGAAGCCGTGCGACGCTCATGTTTCTTGCGCTTGCTATCCTGCGATGCGCTGCCTGCTTGCGCTTTTTGCCCAGGTCTCTGAAACTGAGGCAGCTTCTCGGGAAGAATGAGAGACCGAGTGGTGAGATGTAAGCCTTCGCTGCGAAGCTTTACTCTGCGTCCGCAATGCGTGCCCCACGGCGCATCAAAGACACGGGCAATCCCGAGTATGCTTGGCGCAGTGGACTTAGGCGCAAGCAAGAAATCTACGCGCGATGCGTGATGCAAGTGCGTTCTACAGCCGAAGTGAAAACAACCCCACCGACCTTCTCGATATACCCACGCCGAGCTAGGTCCTTGGGGCCCTCGTCAAAATCTCCTACCATAATCCACGGGAGCTGCAAGGAGGCTACAGGAACCCCAACTCTGGACAACCTCCTGGCGTGATCGCCGTTGAAGCCCAAAGAGGAGATCCCATACTAGGAAAGAGTAACTAAGTTATACCCTTTGAAATGGGCAACTACTGGGAGGAACCCATCGAAGGCCTCCGATGTCTCGCTATGCCTGGGGTAATCACTGGGATTGTCGAACAAGTGAATCTTCCGATGACCCTGGGCTGAAATCAGTTATCCCCTCCCCTCCCCCCTTTGGCGAGGTCACTGACTGCTGACCTTGCCTGAGCGGAGGTGATTGAAGAACGCTCTAACTTGGCATTGCGAAACTTGCTGGCCCACTCGGGGAGATGCGTTGCCTGGATATGTGTTCCTGTGAACGCGAAAATCTGGCGCCGTGAGCGAATCGCCCGCGAAGAAACGCACTTCCAAGCCTGAGGCCCCCAGCATCTGGCATTGCCGAAACAGAGGGAGGTGAAATCTTCCCCCTGCGCCTGACAAGCGCCTGCCAGCGCCTCCCCCTCTGGAAGAGACTCAGTAGGCGCAACGGAAGCCGCTGAAGAAGGAGCCTGTCTCGTTGGAGTCGTCGCACGGGCTGCAGGCTCGCCCGCGCTCGTGCACTCTTCGCACGCTCGTCTGCTTCTTGGCCTCCTCCGCCGCGGCGCGTTTGGCCTCGGAGATCCCGCGGGCAGCGTCGCGCATGGCTGCCTCGTGAACTGAGGCAGCGCCTGGAGCCTCCTGGGCCTGGGCGTCGGCGGCCGTCAATGGGCTTGCGCTGGCGGCGGCGGCCGAGCCGCTCGCGGCAGCGGTGCCTGCGCCGGTGCCTCCGCCGTTCCCGTTACTCGTCTTCGGCTCGGCTGTTTCCATCCTCCTCGTCTTCTGTTGTCGATCCATGACTGCCTTCGTTCCGCGCCTCCATGCGAGTTTTCCACTCCTGCACCTTGGTGCCTCTGTCCTTCAGGTTGGCCTTAGCCATCTGAAGCTCACGTTCTGAATTGCGTAGTGCGTTACGTTCGCCCTCCTCGCATTCATACTCGTCCAAGCGACTGAAGACTTCTGCATCCCATTGAAGATCAAACATCGACTGCTCTTTGCCAGTGTCCTTCTTCGTCGAAGCGTCTATACCAGATTCCTGGGCGAGCAGGGCGATGGCATTTTTCTGGGAGCACTCCGCTTTGGCCAGTGCGAAAGCGCATTCTTGTTCACGCTCCTCTGCGCGACGGAGATTCTCTCTGCTTTCGACCACCTGCGAGACTGCTTGTCCATGTTTGAAGGAACAATGTTTCCATACACTTGTGGCCCTTTTCACAGTTTCGTCCGTGCTGATGGGCTTGCTCTCAGAAGGACTCCCTGCTTTGACTGCACTCACGTGCTCCAACAACACCTTCTTAGCATTGAGATCGGATGGTTCCGCCAACATCTTAGTCAGCAGCGCCTGGACTCCGGCTGGACTGGCGTCCTTTGCCCTTGCCACCACTCTTGACCGTGCTATTGACGAAAGCTTACTGCTTCTTGATGTCGTGATCGCTGCGATCCTCGTTCATGTGCGTCGGTGTGTAGACCTTGACTGTGGATCGACACTTGGCACACGGATTGCTCCCCTCCGACAAGACATCGTTCCATTCGTGAGTGCGACAACGACTACATGTTCTCCAGTGCCTCACCCCCGTGCCCGACATCGCAGCGAATCGGGGAAAGGGCTGGTCTTGCACTGTTTGTGCTGCAGGTAACTGCTGCCCACACGGGACGGAAGGACCGGCACCCTTCAGGCACAATGAGGAGGCGCATGGATGGGCGCGCGCGCCTGCAAAATGTTGTCCGGGCCCACATAGCTTGAGGGGAGGAGGAGGAGAAGGAGGAGGAGGAGGAGGACGACGAAGAGAAAGCCCGTCACATGTGGCACCTTCCGTCCTCACTAGTTGATGGGCTCTCGTGGAACTCGTTTGGGGCCGTGTCGTGGCTGTCTTGGCCTCCTGTGAGGCAGGTTTGGGGGCCCCTGGGGGGCCGTCTTGGGCAGCTTTGGGGCCCTCTTGTGCCGTTTTGGGGGTCGTCTTGGTGTCCTTTTGGGCAGTCTTGGACGCCCTTGGGCCGTCTCGGGGCCCGCTTGGACTGTTTTGGGCCGTCATGGAGGTCTCTTCGGCCGACTTGGGGTTCTCTTGGGGGTCTCGCGGCACGCCGTGGATCGTCGGAAGTATGAAAGGGCGAGATCCCAAACAAAAGAAACAAACATTTGTTGGGGTCCTCTTGGGAAGCTTCTTGTGGCTCTCTTGGGACGTCTCGAACGCCTCCTGGGCCGATTTGAGTCCATCTTTGGCCGGCTTGATGCGATCTTGTGCCATCTGGAGGGCACAGGGGGGCCAGATTGGAGCCATCGGGGGCTGTCTTCGGGACATCTTGGTCTCGCGAGCGCGACGTTATCGTATTTGTGTTCATGGGCCCCTGGGAGGATCACAGCAGCCCCACCAGGCAGCACCTGGCATTCTGGCACGCCCCGACGTGCCAGGGGGGCACGGTGCTAACCTGGGGACCTGTTCGTTCTGTACGGCATCGAACAAGTAAGTTGAAAACAATGTTTAATTTTCAAAAAAAAAAAAAAAAAATCAACCAATGTTTATTTAATTATTTAGATTTATGTCTAATGTTTCGCAAAATCGCAAAACATTGAAGAACAACGCCAACAACATATCATTGTTTGTTTTGGTATGTGGTTGCTGCTCGCACGCGTAGCTACGCCTCTGCCTACTGGAGCAGCGGGGCAGGCCAGGAGCAAGAGCGGGAGTCCGGCAGGCCAGCCCGAGCAAGCCAGCGAGCCCCGCCCGCTCGCACGCCCTCCCACTGCATCCGCACCACGGCGCGAACTGCCGCGGCGTCGGCTTGGCGCGTGCCCCCACGTGGCGCGTGCCCCCACGTGGCGTCCCCGCTTCTGACGACTCTGCGAAGGAAAGCGCACACGGGGCCTCCTTCGTGGCCCCTCGTCGGTGCTGTGGGACCTTAAGTGCGTGAGTGGGCCATCCTGGGGGGGATTGGCCACGTGTGGGCGTGTCGTGTTGGGCATCCGTCAGGTTTGTCCTACGGTATTCGTCTGCCAACTTCTTCCGAACGGCTTGGATGCAGGCGCATTCACTGGGGGGGGGGGGCATGAGTTGTTGTGGCAATTATTTCGGTATTGTCTCTTGTCTCCTCTCTTGGTCTCATTTCTCTCCCTCTCGCTACTCCATTTCCTCTCTCTCTCTGACCTCTGCTTCCGTAGCATGTGCGCAATAGCATGTCTGTTCCGTCGCATTTCTTTGGGATTGGTTTGTTCCTTCATTCTCTGTGTTCGCCCCCTTCGCTTGTGGGCTTTGAGATGTCTCGTATGTAGCAGCTGGGACTCGCGACTTGGCCTCGCGCGAGAGCCAAGCGATTTGAAGAGGGAGAGAGAGAAGGAGAGAGAGAAGGAGAGAGAAAACAAGAGAGACGGGGAAACTCAGACCAATGTGTTGAGGAGAGCGAGCCTTTCTCTCTCATGTCTGGCAGTGATGCGGGGAGGGGAGGGACAGGAGGGTGAAGAGACAGAGAGAGGTCATCGAGAGCAGACAAGCCCCTGACCCTACTCTCGCGATGAAGACGTGGCCTCGCCGAGGTCCCCGTCTTCGCATTTGGGATAATGATTCTGGGCGGTTTGGTCTGGTACATCTGCAGGACAAAAAAGCCCCATCCCTACTGTTCCTGGCCCTCCTAGCGCAGTCCTCTCCCAGGGGGTCAGGGCTTTGTCGGTTAACCAGCAGAGAGAGAGAGGAGAGAGAGAGAGAGGAGAGAGAGGAGAGAAAGAGAGAGAGAGGATAGAGAGAGAGGAGAAAGAGAGAGAGAGAGAGACTCTGGCGAAGAGAGCGACCTTGTCCTTTCGCATTGGCGCCTCCTCGCAGGGCCGTGGACGCGACGGAGAAGGCCCGACGTTCCAGGCGCCGAGCGCCTCGGGGTGGCCGGAAGAGATGCGGGCCTTCACGGGAGAGGGGGTGAAGGAGAAGTATCCAGCCCTGCCGCTGCTGCTGCTGCTGCTGCTGCTGCTGCTCCTCCTCCTCCTCCTCCTCCTCCTCCTCCTCCTCCTCCTCCTCCCTCTCGAGCCTCGACGATCGAGAACTTCAGCTCGGGGCTCTAGGGGTGCAGAGCAAGACGTCCAGAGTCTCTCCCGAGCGAGGCACAGGCGGTTGCGCCCTCGGCGCCTTCGCGGTGCCGGATATTTGCCATTCCGTTGTGTTGTATCTGTTAATCTTGTTTGATGCTTCCTGGTCGGCCATGCCACTATTGACGAACGAACATCACGCACCCATACCCATAGGTGGGACGGTGGGGGCCATAGGTGCGTGTTGTCGGATGGGGGTACCCGCTCGAACGGGAGCCTCCCACAGGGTCCGACAACCCGCACCCATACCCACATCCAGTCCTCCTCCCTCCGGCCCTCCCATGGAGATAGTGTGTGTGTGTGCTCTTCGTTCGTCAACTGTCCGTTCCACATCATTCCCGAAACATTGTTTTGTTCAATCGGTCATGCCGACCCTGCACGTATAACCCAATAAGCCAATGATATTATACATATACGTACCGATATGCATATCAGAAAGAGCGTGTTCTACCGCTGCTGGCGGAAAACCGGGGGGGGTCACTACCGGTTCGAACCCCTCCCCCCCCCCCTCCGGAAAACCGGGGGGGGTCACTACCGGTTCGAACCCCTCCCCCCCCGTTCATCATGAAAAGGGGGGGGGTCACTACCGGTTCGAACCCCCCCCCCCTCCCCCTCGAAAACCGGGGGGTGTCACTACCGGTTCGAACCCCCCCCCCCCCCCCTCGAAAACCGAGGGGGGGTGCGGACAGTGGTGGGGACGGTGGTGGTGGGGACAGTGGTGAGGGGACAGCGGGACAGTGGTGGGGACAGTGGGACAGTGGTGGGGACGGTAGTGGTGGGGACAGTGGTGAGGACAATGGTGGGAACAGTAGGGACAGTGGACAGTGGTGGGGACGGTGGTGGTGGGGACAGTGGTGTGGGGACTGGGAATGAGGTGGAAACAGTGGGACAGTGGAGGGTACAGTGGTGGGTAAAGTGGTGAAGGCAGTGGCGAGGACGGCGGTGGGACAATGGGACAGAGGTACAGTGGGGACAGTGGTGCGAACAGTGGGGACAGTGGTGGGAACAGTGGGACAGCTTAGTGGGACAGCGGAGGAGTCAGTGGGACAGTGGGGACAGTGGGGATAGTCAGGCAGTGGTTGGGGCCGTGGAGACAGTGGGGAGAGTGGAACCCTGGTGGGAACAGTGGTGGGGACAGTGGGGACAGTGCGACAGTGGTGGGGGGCACTGGTGGGGAGAGTAGGGACGGTGGTGGAGCCAGTGGGGACAGTGGTGGTGAGGACAGTGGTGCTGGGAACAACAGTGGGGGATGTGGTGCGGACGGTGGTAGGGACCGGGAGTCGTTTGCTGGCGGTGAGTGGGGGGGGGGGGGGGTTCGAACCGGTAGTGACCCCCCTCCGGTTTTCGAGGGGGGGGGGGGGGGTTCGAACCGGTAGTGACCCCGACCCCCCTCCGTTTTCGAGGGGAGGGGGGGAGGGTTTAGGGGAGGGGGGGGCTTTGCCGGGGGAGAAGGGGGGGGGGAGGGGGAAGGGTTCCAGCAGGGGGGGGAATTTTCGGAGGGGGGGGGGGGGGGGAACCTCCCCCGGGTTCCGGAGGAAAAGTGCGGCAATTTTCCGCAGTAAAGCGGCGGTGGATCACGCTCTCTCGGTTTGGACCCTCTCAGGAGCCTACTCAGGACGCGCTCAAAAATCTCTTCGGAGCCTTGCAGGGTCCCCCAGGGGCTTCTCAGCACCCTCCCAAGAGCTTCTCACGAGCCTCTCGATAGCGTATTGAGAGCCTCTCAGGGCCCTCGCAGGAGCCTCTTAGGACCTGAGGATCCTCTCGGGACCCTCTCAGGAGCCTTCCAGGACGCCCTTCAGGAGCATCTCAGCATCCTGGGGTAGTGCTTTTCGTGTGCTGTTTGCTCTTGTTCGACCTCCGGGGAGGAGAGAACAGGCCGCCACTGGGTGTCGCCAGGGGAGGGTGCAGAGGTGGGCGGCGCTGGGGTTGTGATGTTCCAACCTACTTGAGCCTTGATCGCCAGAAAGAATTTCGAGCACCAGAAAAGTACCCCAAAACGCAAGTGTTTTCACGTGTCGGACCTTGGGAGACACTCGTCCGACACTGTTTCGACATTCTTTCGACATTTTGCCGGGTGCTCGAAATTATTTCTGGGATGTGGTCCTCAGGTACGATGGGAGCAATATAACCCTTATGGGCTCAAACAATTCCTCCACCCTCGGTCCCACTGATTCTCGCCAGGCGGTCATATTGGCGGCGGGACAAGGGGAGCGAGCCGTGCCCCCATCCTCCAGCGCCACAGGTCACACGGCGAGGAGAGAGAACGCCCGATGTCTTCCTGTCGCCGACGACTTCAGCGGCCACGTGGCAGGGATAAATGTCCGGGAGTGGAGTCGCGTGCGGAGCGCTCTTGGCCAAAACATGGACGTGATGAGACAGTTTTGCCAACTTTTGCCGCCTTCGTCGTGGTACCCTTGAGAGTGCACTAAGTTCCCAGCGCGCACCACTTCTGAGAGGAAGGTCCACGCGATTTGCCACGCACCACTTTTGAGAGGAAGTGTACCGTGATTCGCCTGTTTGAGCCCTGGATTTGCTTCAATTCGCGAGCCTTTGACTTTGAGTTAATTGGACAGTGTTCGGAGTCTGATTTCAAATCATGTTTGAAAAGATGTTGAAGGGACACTCTTGTTCCACTATTGTCTGGATCTGGCTCGAACTGTTTGGAATCTCCCTAGGACCCATGCGACGCCAGCCTTTTGCGAGCAAGGCCCACGCAGTTTTCAGTGTCGTCAGAGCTGCCCCCCCATCCCTAGTGGGCCAGAGTGCTCCTCGGCGCCACCAGCCGGCCGCCTCGAGGTGGGGGCACCTGGCCGCGAGGCCCGACGGAGACGGCACCCGTCCCTGCGCTGCGCGGGGGGGGGGGGGGGGAAGGTCGGACCGCGGGGCCAAGACTCCCCGGTGGCGTCCACGAGGCGTGCGGCATGCTCCGAGGGCTGGTGCGTGGCCGGCTTGCCGCGACCTGCTTGGCGACGGCTGCTCACCTGTCATCTGGCCGGAGCGTGGCAACCGAGCGGGCGCCTTTCGCTCGGGCGGCCGCAGTTCCCCCCTCCACACCATGGGCTCTGCCCAAGAGCTTTGAAAAACGGCAGCCGGGCAGCGACTGCGGCGACCTGGGCCACTGCATGGGTGTACAGTGGAAACCCATGCCAAGAAGCACCCTGCTTGCCTCCAGGGTGCCCTGTTTTTTCCCAACCATCCTGTGGTGTTGGGTCCTCGTTTTGAAGACACGGTGCCCCGCGTTCCTCTCCTCCTCCTCCTCTCCTCCTCCCCCTCCTTGCCTCTGCTCTCGGCACACCTCTCACGCGTTTCGTAGCCCCATAGGGAGCTCCACCGAAGGCCCCCGCAGTGGTGTTCGAAGGCATGCGGTTCCCCCACCCAGGGCAGCGTTTCGTAGCCCCATAGGGAGCTCCACCGAAGGCCCCAGTGGGGGTGTTCGCATGCGGTTCCCCCACCCAGGGCAGCGTTTCGTGGCCCCATAGGGAGCTCCACCGAAGGCCCCAGTGGGGGTGTTCGCATGCGGTTCCCCCACCCAGGGCAGCGTTTCGTGGCCCCATAGGGAGCTCCACCGAAGGCCCCAGTGGGGGTGTTCGCATGCGGTTCCCCCACCCAGGGCAGCGTTTCGTAGCCCCATAGGGAGCTCCACCGAAGGCCCCAGTGGGGGTGTTCGCATGCGGTTCCCCCACCCAGGGCAGCGTTTCGTGGCCCCATAGGGAGCTCCACCGAAGGCCCCAGTGGGGGTGTTCGCATGCGGTTCCCCCACCCAGGGCAGCGTTTCGTAGCCCCATAGGGAGCTCCACCGAAGGCCCCAGTGGGGGTGTTCGCATGCGGTTCCCCCACCCAGGGCAGCGTTTCGTGGCCCCATAGGGAGCTCCACCGAAGGCCCCAGTGGGGGTGTTCGCATGCGGTTCCCCCACCCAGGGCAGCGTTTCGTGGCCCCATAGGGAGCTCCACCGAAGGCCCCAGTGGGGGTGTTCGCATGCGGTTCCCCCACCCAGGGCAGCGTTTCGTAGCCCCATAGGGAGCTCCACCGAAGGCCCCAGTGGGGGTGTTCGCATGCGGTTCCCCCACCCAGGGCAGCGTTTCGTGGCCCCATAGGGAGCTCCACCGAAGGCCCCAGTGGGGGTGTTCGCATGCGGTTCCCCCACCCAGGGCAGCGTTTCGTGGCCCCATAGGGAGCTCCACCGAAGGCCCCAGTGGCTGTTCTCGCATGCGGTTCCCCCACCCAGGGCAGCGCTTCGTGGCCCCATGGGGAGCTCCACCGAAAGCTCCCGTGGCGCAGTTCGCATGCGCTTCCCCCACCCAGGGCAGCGTTTCGTGGCACCATAGGGAGCTCCACCGAAGGCCCCAGTGGCGCAGTTCGCATGCGGTTCCCCCACCCAGGGCAGCGTTTCGTAGCCCCATAGGGAGCTCCACCGAAGGCCCGCCCCGGTGGCGCAGTCCGCATGCGGTTCCCCCATCCAAGGCAGCGCTTCGTGGCCCCATATGGAGCCCCACCGAAAGCGGCACCCACAACGCGTTACCAACAATTGCTTATGGTTGGGTCTTTCGCCAGGATAATTTTTTGGGGGGGGTCGAGGGTTTTGCTATGGAGACCGTGACGTTCCCACACTAAAAATCAATGGACTTCCTGCGGTCTCAGGGTTGGGTTTCTTGTGGAAGGTTTCATGTGGTCGGGCCCCTACTGTAACAATTTTCGGGCGGGTGGTAATGGGGGTGGCCTCCATGGAGCCCTCCCCGCATTTCGGTCACCCATCGTTACCACCCGCCCGAAAGTTTGAGTTCTGAAGTTTGCCGCATCGGAGCAAGCATCCCGCTGAGCCTCACGGGAGTGTAGCTCGTGGCCCAAATTGCTCTAGATGGCCCGTCTCCCCCTCGTGGGAGGCATTTCCCCACCAAATTGCACCGCAGGTTCGCGTCGCGCTGACGCTGCGAAGGCCCCAGCCCGTGCGCTCAAGATGGAGCTCCGCCGATGCGCCGGCGCTGTCAGGAAGTCGCCGCTCTGGAAGGTTGAACGGTCAACTCGGTGTCTAGAGTCTAGAGCAACAAGGCTACATGAGCATACGTTTTCGGAGCTCGTCGCCGGTTGCTTGGATCGGCACTCCCCCTCCAGTGCACGCGGAGCGTGCCAGGGGCCGCGCCGGAGGCGCTCCCAGAGGGCTCCAGTGCCGATCCGACAAGCCCGCGCGGACCTCTTACAGTCGTTGTTGATGATGACGATGACGATGACTTTCATGATGATGAGGATGAGGATGAGGATAATGATGCTGCTGATGATGATGATGGTGATGATGGTGATGGTGGTGATGGTGATGATGATGAGGATGCTGATGACGATGACGAGGACGACGACGACGAACGACGATGACGATGACGATGACAATGATAATGATGATAATGATGCTGATGCTGATGACGATACTGATGATGCTGATGATGACGATGACGATGACGTTGACGATGGTGCTGATAATGATGACGATGATGATGAGGATGACGATGGCGATGATGGTGACGATGACGATGGCGATGAAGATGCTGATGATGATGACGATGATGATGATGGTGATGATTACGATGACGATGACAATGCCGATGACCACGATGATGACAGAGACGATGGTGATGCTGTTGATGATGATGATGATGATGATGATGATGATGATGATGGTGATGGTGATGGTGATGGTGATGGTGATGGTGATGATGCTGATGCTGATGCTGATGCTGATGATGATGATGATGATGATGATGATGATGATGATGATGATGATGATGACGATGATGACGATGACGATGACGATGACGATGACGAGTCACCAATTAGGGAGCTCTGGTGGCAGTGGCTCTTTCGTGGCCCTTCTTGCTCTCGCGAACGATGCCACCGTCAAAGGGGCGCGAGCACTCTCGGCCTCCTAGATTGGGTCGAAGTAGATGGTGTCGGAGGATCGCGGCGCATCGCCGATGCATCGCCGATGCGGCTCGATGTGGGGCCCGTTTTGCTTCACATCGACGTCGCCGATGCATCGCCGACGTTGAAGCTGCATCGCCAGTGTATCGCTGATGCATCGCCGATGCATCGTCGATGTATCGGCGATGCGGCGCGATTTTTTGACCCCGTCAACTCCGACCCCATCTAGGAGGCCTTTAGTCTTGAAAAGATAGCGACGGGAGGGGAGGTTATTCCCTGTTTTCGGCCTCTAGGGGTCCTCGCCGCGCCTCGGGGCCGTCAAAAAACAGCTCGGGATTGAAAACCGGTCCGGGGAATGGGTCCGGACCTCTGGGGGTCGCGTCGGGGGGTATGACGTCGGGGGTATGGGAGGAGGGAAGGATCTGTTACCGAACGAGTCGCCCATCGTCCATACCCAAAATGCGGCAGAGACAAGCCAGTAACGGCCGCTGAGTGGACGTTTCCTCATCGGCGGCGAGCGGGGGGGGCGGCGAGTGAGACGGAGAAGGCCTTCTCAGAAGGCGGCGGGACTTCTCAGAAGCCCTCGCGACTTTGAGAAGTGTTCTGCGTGTCCGGGGAAGGAACAGAACACTTCTCAGAAGGCCGGGGGATTTCCGAGCCTTTGCGAAGGCCCGCCCACTCCCCTTTCCCCCAAAGCTCGCCGCCGAGAGGAGGATGAGGGGGAGAATGAGCAGGACGAGGAAGGAGAGGGAGGAGGACAGCGAGGACTGAGAGGACGGCGACGAGGACGAGCGAGAGGAAGGAGGAGGAGGAGGAGGAGGAGGAGGAAAAGGAGGAGAAGCAGGAGGAGAGGAGGAGGAGAGGGAGGAGAGGAGGAGGAGGAGGAGGAGGAGGAGGAGGAGGAGGAGGAGGAAAAGGAGGAGAAGCAGGAGGAGAGGAGGAGGAGGAGGGAGAGGAGGAGGAGGAGGAGGAGGAGGAGGAGGAGGAGGAAGAGGAAGAGGAAGACGAGGAGGCGGAGGAGGAGGAGGAGGACACGGGAGAGGCGGGGCGTTCGCAGGAGCGCGGAGGAGCGACGGCGAGAGCGGGGACGGAAGGTGGGAAGGACGAGGAGAAGAGAAACGTCAGCGGCGAGGAGCGACGGTGGCGATTGCGGCAACGATTGCCCACGGGGGGAGACCGCGAGGCCGACCAACCTGGGGGCCGCTCCTGGGGCCGCCGCGCCCGGGAGCGCCCGCAGCCCGCCCCGCCTCCATCCTCCTCCATCCCTGCTCCTCCTCCTCCTCCTCCTCTCTTCCTCCCTCCTCCTCCTCCCTCCTCCTCCTCCTCCTCCTCCTCCTCCTTCTCCGCCATCCTCCTTCTTCTCCTCCTCCTCCTCCTCCTCGTCCTCATCCTCCTCCTCCTCCTCCCTCCTCCCTCCTCCCTCCCCTCCTCCTCCTCCCTCCCTCCTCCTCCTCCTCCTCCCTCCTCCTCCTCCTCCTCCTCCTCCTCCCTCCTCCTCCTCCTCCTCCTCCTCCTCCTCCTCCTCCTCCTCCTCCTCCTCCTCCTCCTCCATCCTCCTCCTCCTCCTCCTCCTCCTCCTCCTCCTCTCCTCCTCCTCCTCCTCCTCCTCCTCCTCCTCCTCCTCCTCCTCCTCCTCCCTCCTCCTTCCTCCCTCCCCCTCCCTCCTCCCTCCTCCCTCCTCCCTCCTCCCCCTCCCTCCTCCCCCTCCCTCTTCTCCTGCTCTTCCTCCTCCTCCCTCCTCATCCTCCTCCTCCCCTCCTCCTCCCTCCTCCTCCTTCTCCTCCTCCTCCTCCTCCTCCCTCCTCCCTCCTCCCTCCCTCCCCCCTCCTCCCATCCCTCCCTCCGTCCTTTCTCCCCCTGCTCCTCCTCCTCCTCCTCCTCTCCTCCTCCTCCTCCTCCTCCTCCTCCTCCTCCTCCTCCTCCTCCTCCCTCCTCCTCCTCCACTCCTCCTCCCTCCTCCTCCTCTCCTCCCCCCTCCCTCCTCCTCCTCCCTCTCCTCCTCCCTCCTCCTCCTCCCTCCCTCCCTCCCTCCCTCCCTCCCCCTCCCTCCCTCCCTCCCTCCCTCCCTCCCTCCCTCCCTCCCTCCCTCCCTCCCTCCCTCCTCCCTCCTGCCTCCTGCCTCCTCGCTTCCGACGGGCACGAGGTGTGGAGGGCTCCGGGGTCGAGAATCGAGCGATCTGTCCAGACCCCCCTCGAGTCATTCTAGGCCTCCAAGATGGGGCTCGAGCAGATGGGGTCGGAGGATTGCGCGGCATCGCTGGTACATGGGCGATGCGTCTCGATGCGGAGCCCCGCTTTCTCAACGCAGACGGCGCCGATGGCACCGCTGACGTCGCCGATGCATCGGCGATGCGGCGCGATCCTCTGAACCCACCTACTCGGACCCCTCTCTAGGAGGCTTCTAGTCATGATAATATCATGACGGGAGGTTTTTCCATATGTTCGGCCTCTGGGGGCCCCTGCCGGGCCTCGGGGCCGTCCAAAAACGACCCCAGGATGAGGGACCGGTCCCAGGGAAGGGGTCCAGACCGTTGGTGGTCGACGTCATGAAAAAATCATGACGTCGGGGGTCTGGGTACGTCGGCGATCTGCGTCGGGTTCGGTGGCGAATCATGGGAGCCTGGTCTACCCTTTTAATTCCATCTTTCGGCTCGATTAGCGTTGATCAGCACGTGGAGTCGATGATATAAAGATAGCGCCGATTTAGCGTAGCGTCGATTCCCAGCGATTTAGCGTCGATGAGCGTCGATATAGCGTCGATTCGCAAGAGCCGATTAGATGGTATGGGAGGCTCCCATGAGATGCCTGCCACCGGAGTCGGGGAGCAAGCATGGGGCGACGAGATCTGTATGCATCCGCTGCCCCTGGCCAGGCCCAGCGGGATCTGTATAGATCTCGCCGCCTTCGAAAAGAGGCACAAACGTAATTTCCCGGAGGTCCGCGCGAATGTCTTGAATCGGCGTTGGGCTCCGCTGGCGGCGCCCCCAACACCGCCACTGGCGCGCTCCGCACGCCAGGGAGGTGGGTCCAGCGCCGATCCAAGGAATGGTGTCCCGTCCCCCCGAACATTCCCCCTCGCCCCCCTGCGCGCCCCGGACCTCTTCTGGAGTTGGCTCTGGCCAGAATGTCCATGCAGATCCGACCGTGGTCTCGAGGGCGCCCCAGATGCAGAGGCGAAGACCTATCCAGAACCTCCGCCCTGGGGGGGTCGATCTTCTGGGTACTCGTCAGGCGGTGGATATGGATGCAGTCGACCCGCATGGTAAGGGTGGGTAACTTTCCCAAGGGTGCTCTTGCATCCTTGCCTCCTCGGTCCATCCTTGGGCACTTTCGTTGGCCGCGCCCCGCTCGACAGGCTTCGAAACGACCTTCCAAGGCCCGTGCATCCTCATCGTGTGTCCTTAAGATACGGGTTGACTGTATATTCGGGCCCCAGGGGGGGCCAACTGTGTCCGTATTCCATGACCACCGCTTGCAGGGGTCCCCGGAAATCGATCAACCAGGCGATGCTTCTGGATAAATCCACGCGGTCGGAGGATCGCGCCGCATCGCCGATGCATCGCCGATGTGGCGCGATGCGGAGCCTGGTTTCCTCCATGCGGACGTCGCCGATGCCTCGCCGACGTCGCCGATGCATCGCCCATGCATCGGCGACGCATCGCTGATGCATCGGCGTTGCGGCGCGTTCCTTCGACCCCACCTGCTCCGACCCCATCCTAGGGGTCCCAGGAGGCCTCTGTTTGAGGGCTCGAGAGTCGAGGGCAGGGTCCGAGGCTCGAGGCCGAGGCCCTGGGGGGGGGCCAACTGTGTCCATACAGTCGGCCCGGATTAGGAGGTCGACCCCGCCAGATCAAGGGTAGCCTCGTGTCCTGTGTCTCGCGACCCGTGCCTCCTACATTCCGGTGGCAGTGTGCCCCCCTCGGGAAGGGTCTGGTGTCCTCTCGCGCGTCTTCTCCAATCCAGTCCGACTGTACCCCAGGTCCACCGCCTGCAGGGGCCCCCGGAGACCGATCAGGCAGGGCCGCGTTCTCTGGGCAGAATCCACTTCTCGCCCGCGAGGCTCCGATGCGCTGTGAGGGCTCGAGGGTCGAGGGCAGGGCCCGAGGCCCGAGGCTCGAGGGGTGGAGGCCCGAGGCCGAGGCCCGAGGTCGTGGCTCGGGGGCGCCAGCGTGCGAGGATCCAGATCCCCTGGTGCGGAGGGGCCGCGGCAGAGCAGCCTGGGCCAGCCCCTCGGCTCCCCGAGTTGCAGCCTTGGCTTATGAGGTTCCAGCCTCTCTTGGCCTTCCTCCCCCCCCTCCTCCTCCTCCTCGCTTCTCCTCCTCCTCCTCGCTTCTTCCTCCCCCTGGGGAGGGAGCACGCCTGCCGCCCCCCAGCGATCGTGCCTCCGATATCGCCTGGGCGCTCCGGCGTGGGCGGCGGCATCTTTAGAAATGATTTCGAGCACCAAGAATGTACTGGCACCTGAGGGCTTTCGCGGGAGGGGCCCTGGGAGGCGATACTCATTCGACGCTGCTTCGATATTGCTCTCTGGGTGCCCGAGATTATCTCGGGGATGCGGTCCCCAAGTGCGATGAGAAACACAGAAGTCTTGGTCCAAGCTCGCTCCGGCCTCGGCCAGCTCTCACAGCCACGGTCACGTATAATCTACGGTCGGACCGAGGTCTGAGATCGAGGTCGGTTCGCGGAGGGTATGCCCGAGTGCTCTTCGTTGCGCGTTACGCGTTGGATGGTCTTGTGCATCCGGGGGGGCGGCACCTTTGTGGATGTTCTGCTTGTTTTGGCCGGCTGAGTGTCTCATGTTCTTGAGAGATGTTTTTTGAGGCCTAGGTCCGAGCAGTGGCGAAGCGTCCTGGCTCGCCGGTAACCCCTCCAAATAATGTTCTAAGAACCTTTTGTGGTTTGCACGAAATGTTCTTAGAACATGTTTGTCGGAGTCTGTCTTGGTTTAACACATCGGGTTTATGTTTCAAGAACACTGTTTTGGTTCTTAGAACATTTTGGGGTTCTAAGAACATTTCGTGGTAGGACTATAGGAATGCCATGACGGTCGGTCCCTGCTCAAAGTGTTTTTTCGTGCCCAGGGCGGGTGGGCCGAGAGATCCCCGGAGGCTCTTCGAATCCACAGGGGGGTGGCGGAGACGAGGGGGGGGGGCGATCAAGCCGCCGCGGAGTGAGCCGAGGGGCGCTCGAAACGCAACCAAGCTCGCCCAAAACACAACGAAACGTACGCGGCTGCACAACAGTGACGGCCTCGATTGTTCTGAGCCAGACGACCTTCGTTGTCTCAATCTGTCTTAGAGTTTCTCGCCAGACGAACCTCTTCGTCTCAATTCTCTCAATTGGTCGCCCCCACAATATTATATGGCAAGTTCTTTGAATTCCTCTTAGGATCTTTCAAGTCTTCCCAATTCCTCTCAACGCAGTTTGCCATCAGAAACGCTACTGCGCAAGAACTTTTTGAGGGGCCGTTGCTGTCTCAAAAGCCTTTACGCGATGTCCCCGGGCGCGCTCAACTTTCGCCCCCCCCTCCGTCGACGCCACCCCCGTGCGGATCTGCACGAAGAGGGCCCTCGAGGGCTTGACGGTTCTTCTCCGGTCGACTTGCAGTGGTCGGGGCCAGGTTAACGGTCTGACCACATACAGGGCAGTTTTTTTGACACATAAGATTTTTTAACATATAGGAGTTTTAAATACATGATCAACGTATGGGTAAACTTATGCATGAATTAATCGTTGGTGTTAATGCTCAATCCCTGCCTTTTTAATACACGATCCGCACGCGGAGCATGTACTAGAAACGGCACTGTAATGCTTTGCCGTAAAAGTCAGGGGCGGCCTGACCGACCCTTATCGAACCATCCCCTTCCGTGACGTGCCCCTCGGCTCGCCCCAAGGCGTACGCGGGCGGCCAGAGGAGATCTCGTGCGAGGCGAGGGCGACGTCACGGAAGGGGATCGTGACTGCGAGGAGTCCGTTCCTGTCGTGTCCCTGGGCCCCGCGACAACAGCTTGTGGCCAGACGCAGCCAGTTTTTTTGGTATGGTTTCGCCGATCGGCGCGGGCCTTCGGCCTCCTCCCCCCTCCTCCTCATAGCCCAGACCTGGGCTGCCTGTGGCGGCTGCTCGCGGCTGCTCGCGGCTGCTCGTGGGTGCTCGTGGTCAGGACCCCTCACCCCCAGTCTGCTTCTGCGCGACTGGTGAGAGAAGCACCAGCCTAGGCCCAGCCCCCCCCCTCTCCCCTCACCCTTCGGCCAAAGGCCGAAGTCCAGAATAATACATCGCTTGCCATCATCAGCGAGCATGGGGAGACCAAAAGGCACCGATACCACTACCCCCCGGACCTCTCTCCCGGCCCGGGATCCGTTCTGACCGGGATTTCGAGGCCAATCCAGCGGTGGCGACGAGGGCCTCCCAGGAGGCCGACAAAAAGGAGAAACGGGCTTAGGGGTAGACCCACAAATCCGACGTCGTGATTTTTCCTATGCGGCCCTCCCGGAAGTCTCGACCCGTTCCCCGGGACCGGTTTTCCATCCCATGAGTCGTCTTTTTTTACGGCCTCGGGGCCCGCCCGGCGAGGGCCTCCGGAGGCCGAGATCGGCGAAACACCTCCGCCTTGAGATTTTGTCAATGCGCTGGGTCTCTGGGAAGGTGGTATGGGTACCTTTTCCTCCTCCGAGAGCAGCCGCGGTGGCGCGCGCGCGCGCGCCGGGGCCAATCGCGCGCTCGCGCGGGGGGGGCGCGGCGCGCTGCCCGCCCCCCGGGAGGACGCCAGGCGAGGAGCCGCCATTGCCGCTGGCCGGCCGGCGCCAGAGCGCCCAGGACCGACGGTCTCGCGGCCTTGCTCCTCCTCGTCGTCCTGCCCCTCCTCCCCTCTCCCTCCCTCCTCCTCCTTTTCAAAACCTCCTCCCCCTCCTCCTCGTCCTTTTTCTCCTCTTCCTCCTCTTCCTCCTCCCCCTCTTCCTCCTCCTGTTCCTCCTCCCCCCCCTCCTCGTCCTTCTTCTCCTCTGCCTCCACCTCCTCCTCTTCCTCCTGTTCCTTCCTTCTGCTCTTCCTCCTCCTGCAACTCCCTGCTCTCCTTCCTCCTCCTCCCGCGACTTGAACGGTAGGTCTCTTATAGCTCGCCCTGTCTCTTTGCCTGCCCTTTTGCCACCGTTTGTGGCCCAAAGTGTGGCCACCCAGCGTGCCCTTATTAGACACGTGTCAGCTAGACTCGCTTGCAACCAGAATACGTAACACATCCGATGCCATCGCACCTCTGATTTCTTAGTTGATAGCGGAGCGACCGAGTTCGAAGGACAGCACGGCTCGCTACTCGTGGTGTCTACCCGATCAATTCCGCACCAAAAGGATCGTGGACATGCTTTGGTGCGAACTCGTTCCCGACATAAGCCCCGCTGCGACCACGACACTGTCAAGCTGAGCGACGAGCGGCGCAAGAAGATCGTGCCCAGCTCCCGTTGTAGCCATCCCACCAAGGACATGGACGACCAGAGCGGCTAAGTCGACTGCTCGTCCAACTTCACGGGCACCAATGGCCTGGGCTCTTAATGACGAAGTCATCGCAGCCCACGGCCTTGGCGATGGCGGAGGAGAAAGCAGCTGTCGCATCTCGCGAGCGAAGTTCGCGACTGCAACGCAGCTAAGCGTGCGAATGAGAGGGCAGCTTCCGCGAACTACGTTCGTGGAGCAGCAGACGAGGAGAAACCAGAGCACGCACGTGAGTGGCGGCCGCTCCATGTAATAGTCTGCTGCCTGCCGCCTTCTGTGATACTTCGTTGGTTGGCACGCGGCTTGCGCGTGCTATGCGACGATACGCGCCAGATTCGCTCGAGCACCAGACTCGAACGGTAGGTCTCCTATAGCTCGCCTTGTTTCTTGGCCTGCCAGTATGCCGTCGCTTGTGGCCCAAAGGGTGGCCACCCAACATGCCCGTATTAGGCACGTATTAGATTCGCTTTCAACCAGCTTACGTGACAGCGTCCGTTGTCATCGCGGCTCTCAGTTATTAGTCCGTACCCTGCCGGCTAGCCCCGCCCAGGGCGGATCGCAGCCCCAAGCGCATCATAACAACTGTACCCGGAGCGGCTCCCCACCCTTCCTTCTCTCTCCCATTAACTCTTCCTTTGATGGGCGTCGAACCTCCTCCTCTTCCCTTCCTTTTCCTTAGTGTGCGTCTTTTTTGTTGTTCCTTCTTCTCCTCCTCCCGCCTGCTCCTCATCCTTCGCGGGCGGGGCGCCCCACCCCGAAGCGCGGCGGTGACCGCGATTGATGGTGGGTTTGTTGGGAACGGCCTGCGCCCGAGCGCCAGCCTCGGAGGCCTCCGGCATCTCGCCACCGCCCCCCGTCCCGGCACACCTGGTTGCCAGGGATGACCGCGGGCGCGGCCGTCGGTCGGAGAAGGAAAAGGCACCCGTAGTTACCGGTACCCTCGTCCGTTTCCCCCGTCTTCGCCCTCCTGGGAGGCCCCCGCCGCCGCCGTTGGATTCGCCTCGAAATTCTGGTCAGAACGCACCCTGAGAGAGGTCTGGGGAGTAGCTTTATCAGTACCCTTTGATTTCCCCAGTCGGGGGCGGGGGTGTCATTTTGGGCCATCACCTTTGGCAGAGGACCACAGGGCATTCAAAAAAAATCGAAGAAACAAAAAGTTCGAGAGCGTCCAAGAGGTATTCGAATCATTGTTAAGTTGTGTGATTTGGGTTTGTCGCCGAGGCCATTTTGGACATACCAACGACCCGCGACCCCCCCGTCCAAACCCAGGGGGGATGGGTAGGGGGAGGAGTCAAGACACCCTCTCTGCCCGCAAGCCGTCTCGCTCACTCCCACTTGCCCTCCCAACACATGAGGAACACCCGAGCCGCAGCATGTTTAGCGGTCGTCTTTGGATGGACACTCAGTGGTGACCAAACCAGGCCCCACGTGCGGCAATGCTGGGGCCAGGTGCGCCACGCGTTCCAGGTTTGCCACGCGCGCCAGGTGCGTCAGGCGGCATCCCCTATGGCCCAAGCGCAGCAGGCACGCCTGGGGCGCCGAAGGCGCCACGTGATCCACGTGCGCCATGCGTGCCGCATGCTCCAGCCGCGCCACGGGCGCCACGTTCGGCACACGCGCCGGGTGCAGCAGGTGCGCCTGCGCGTGCGGCCGTGCACGTCGGGAGGCGCGCAGGTTCCCACTGCTTGTTGCTCTTGTCGGAAACCAGTACAGTGCAGTTTTTAATACATGCTCCGCGTGTGGATCATGTATTAAACATGCAGGGATTTAGTACTAAAGACAACGATGAGTTTGTGCATAAATTTATTCATAGATTAATCATGTATTGAACATCCTATATGTTTAAAAAAATCCATGAATTAAAAACTGCCCTGTACGCAGTATCGCAGTGTCCGGTGGGCTTGCGCACGGGAGGCCACAGGCCAGCACTCTTCGCCGCCCCAGCCAAACACCGATGCGCGGTGATCGCAGGCTGCCCGCGCATGGTCCAGAGCTTGCCTCGAAGTGTACTCTGGTTTCGTTTTGGTGGACAGGGATGGCGCTCCTGCGCGCAGCAGGCAGTATGCGGGCACCCCGGCCGTCCATGTCAAAGAAACATGCAAAGCTCTCTCCCCCGATCATGACCCATGATTTTGCCCAAAGTTGGATTTTACATTGTTTGTTGATGGCAGGGATGGTGGGGGAGGGTCCTTATTGGTCCTGTCGCCTGGGCGAGGTGATGTTGAATAACAGGGAACAGTGAGAAACCCTTCCCCGAAGGGAAAGAATAGGGGTTGGAAGAAGAAATCCCCTAGACCACTCACGCCCGAAAGGGCTGGTGGGATTTTCGGGAACGTCGAAGAGGTGGGTGATTATTGAGGGTATGCAGGAATCATGGCGTTGGCCATGATATCTCCCAGATTTCATTTCCCCCCTCTTCTTCTGCCAATACGTTTCCTGCCCCACTTTTTCCATGATGCCAATGTCACTTGCTGCCTGGTTTGTTGTTGTTGTTGTTGTTGTTGTTGTTGTTGTTGTTGTTGTTGTTGTTGTTGTTGTTGTTGTTGTTGTTGTTGTTGTTGTTGTTGTTGTTGTTGACTGCACTCTCTCTCTCTCTCTCTCTCCATCTTCTTATCGGACAGCACGTCCGCCGTCTCATACGATCTCACAGATGCAATGACCGGTCACCGGAGCCCATGTTTCTTTCCCGTCGCGTTGGACTTGCTACGTTCTGTGTTGACGGGTGTACGGCGGCTCGACGCTCGCCGTTCGCCATCGTCGTCGTCGGAGGCGTCGTCGGCGCCCTGGTCGTAGCGTCGCCCTGTGCGACGACGGGGCACTTTGACGCTTCTGCCGCAGCATGCCCGTGCCCCGCGAGTAGCTGAAGTGACCCTGGCGCCGGCATCCCGGAGCGCCGTCGCCGCCCTCGCCGTCCTCGCCGCCGCCGTCTCCATCGGCACCGCGGCAGCGCTGCAGCCTCGCGCCACTGTCGTCGCCGTCGTCGTCGCCGTCGTCGTCGCCGTCGTCGTCGCCTTCGTCGTCGCCGCCGTCGTCGCCACCGTCGTCGCCTCCGTCGCCGCCGTCGGCGGAGCGTCGCGTCGTCGTGGTCGCCGTCGCCGTCGCGCCGTCGCCGTCGCGCCGTCGCCGTTGTCGCCGTCGCGCCCCAGGGCAGCCCAGAAGGCCTGCGGCTGCGCCGCGCCGCGCCCTCGTCGCCGGCGGGCGCCGCCGCCACGGCCGCCGAGGATGACGCGAGGCGCCCGCCCCCTCCTTCTCCTCCCTCCTAGGGCAGGATGGTGAGCAGCGGCGGCGGGCGAGGGGGGGAACGAGGAGAAGAATGCCTCCGCAGAAGGCAGCGGGGCTGCTCAGAAGCCCTCGCGCCTTCTGAGAGGTTTTCTCTGTCTTCGGGGAAGGCTTAGAAAACGTCTCAGAAGTCCGTGGGACTTCCGAGCCTTCTGAGAAGGCCCGCCCCTTCTCACTTCCCCCCCTCGCTCGCCGCCGAGATTAAGAAGTTGCTGGAGGTCGTGTTCACGCGACGGTGCCCGGGATGATGATTCGAACAACCGGCCCCGGGTTTGGAAGCTATTTGTTTCATCGTTCCCTCCCGCCCTCCTCGGGCGCGTGCCTGGACGGTCGAAAGGCCGGACGGGTCCAAAGCGAAGTGGCGGAAGCCGACGATTCGGAAATCATTGTGTTTACCGTCCCCCCACTTTCTTTCACCAATCGTCATCATACATTGTGAGCTCCTTGTGGCTACCGTATGCGTCCGTGGCTGCAGGGGCCAGGACGGCCCCCTTCGGGGCCATGTCCGCGGCCCTGGTGCGTAGATTATGGTAGATGCACCTTCGTCCGAAAGCGAAGGTTCACCGTGCCAATGACCTCCAGTCAGTCTTAATAATCAAGGCTTGCTGCAGTGCGGTTTTGGAAGGGCGAGCAAGTACAGCACTCATTGGACAATCAGACATCATGGTATTAAGGGTGTGCGTATCGTATCCCATCGTAGGTTTGTTCTCCAGTAGGCCATGTTTTGTTGAAAACCTTTTGGCGATAACCAAATAATAAAAACGGCTCAAGAAAAACGGCGCACACATAAAGCTTTCGGAGTGCCGCGCGGATTTCTTGGATCGGCGCTGAGACCACCCCCGGCGCGCACCGCGCGCCAGGTAGCGGGGTGTCCAGTGCCGATCCGAGAAATCACCGCAGAGTTCCGAAAGTGTATGATTGTGCAATTTGTTATGCTTCAAGGATTCAAGGGTGTTCATGCGCCGTAGAGCCCTTGAACAAACAATTATGTTGCTTCGAGCGATCCCCACCGAAACCTTCGGCGTTTGATGCCGAAGGTGCGCGCCCTCATTGGGAACCATGTGCGCAGGGCGCGGTGGTCTCGGCCATTGTTATGCCATGTTTTGTTGTGTTCTGTTATGGTATAGTATGCTATGTTATGTTATGCTATGTTGTGTTACGCGGGCCGTGTGGGCGGGCCGGCGCTGGCGTTCAAGAAGCTGCTGCGTTCAGGGTGTTCTGGGTTCCCCCCCGTGTGCATCTTGCGCGCGGGTTTTCAGGGCTGGGTTTCTTGCGAGGGTTTCTTGCGGCCGCGTCCGCACTGTATGTGCTGGTGGAAAGAAACTCTGTTAATTTTTTCTTCACGCCGACTGGGCGGCACTCCTCTTCTGTTCGTGCTGTGGAACAGTCGGCCCTGGCGGTAAGCTCACCCGGCGCCTCCGTGAGTATTGCGCTTGCGCATTGATGAGAGGCTGTTGCCATACCGAAGGCTCCAGTTGCAGGACTTTGTCATAGCATGTGTTGCTATGCTGTGTTGTGCTATGATATCATATGATATGATATGATACTTCATGTTATGTGATGATGTGCCATGCTCTGTTTGGGTATGGCCAGTTCTGCATTGATCTGTTATGTCATGTTTGATTTGTCATGTTATGTATTGATATGTGCTTTGATGCTGTGCTATGGTTTGCACTGCTCTGCCATGGTGTGTTATGTTCCGAAATGGCCTGTTATGATGTGGCATGTGATGCTCGGATACGATATGTTCGGGGGTTGTGTTATGCTTTGTTTTGTGGGGGATTGGGGGATCTGGCGGACGCGGTATGCAGGGTGGGCGAGTCGGCGCGGGGGGCGGGACCACCAGGGATTCTCGGGAGCCTGGGGATCTGGCGGCCGCGGTGTGCAGGGTGGGCGGGCCGGGAGGTCTGCCCTTCAAGCCTGACGACCCCAACCCGTGGGGTGGTAATGACCTGGCAATCTTTTTCACACAGTGGCGAAGCGTCCTGGCTCGCCTGTGGCCCTACCAAGCAATGTTCTAGGAACCTTCTGACGTTCCCACGAAATGTTCTTAGAACATTTCTGGCTGGGGCTGTCTTGTTTTGAAGGCATCGGGAATACGTTCTGAGAACACTGTTTTTGTTCCTGGAACACTTTTGGGTTCTGAGAACATTTCGTGGTAGGACTAATTACAGGAATGCTGGGACGGTCGGTCCCTGCTCAACTTTTGGCGATGACTGGAGTTTCCCCCAGGGGGCGCATGAAGGTGGCCGCGCCTCGCGCGCCGCTGCCTGGGCCAGACGGGCAGCCCTGCGCTCCGCGCCTGGGCGCGAGGCGGAAGGGAGGAGCGGAGCGCGATGCGCGCTGGCTCTATGGCTAAGATATCGGGCGTGGCCAGGGGGGGGCGCGGAGGAGGAGGAGGAGGAGGAGAAGGAGGAAGAAGAGGAAGAAGAGGAGGAAGAAGAAGAAGAAGAGGAGGAGGACGAGGAGGAGGAGGGAAGAGGGGAGAGGAGGAGGAGGAGGAGACGGAGGAAGAGGAGGGAGGAAGGGTCATTGGGGGTGACAGAAACCCGAACCCTGAGGACACGATGAAAACGTGGCCTCTCTGAGGTCCCCGTCTTCGCATTAGGCATGATAAATCTGGGCGGGTTGGTTCGATACACCTGCAGAAAAGACCCCCTTATCTGTTCCTGGCCCTCCTAACTTAGGTCCTCTCCCAAAAAGTGAAGGGTCTTTTTCTTCCTACTCAGTGGGTGGAGGGGGGGACGGGGGCCGGTCACGTTGCGATTCGCGCCGGCGCCGCCTGGGAGTGCCTAGGAGTGGCTAATGCCCAGACGGCGCCGGCGGCCGCAGCCACCACGGCCGCCGATGATCAGGCAAGGTGCCCCCGTTCCCAGGTTTCTGAGATCATCGCTGGGGTTGGTAAGGGGACGGGGGCGTCTGAAGTGGATGCGAATGTGGGATAGTATCCGGCCCAACCTAGCTTATAGGTATTTCACAGGTGCCCTAAATGGTTGGGAGAGGGTGCAGGTTTGGTCTACGCAGGCGGAGCCCACGTGGCGGAGTTAATTAAACACCCTCAAGCTGCTAAGGGCACATGTATTCCATTGGTGGGATTGGTTAGGTCAGATGTGTTGGCCAGCGTGGACCCCAAACCTTTTTTTCTAGCATGCTATGTGGTGTTATCAACGTGGGGCGATCTACTTCCCGAACATGAAGTTGTCAATTCCACTGCTCGCGCAATCTTCCCACCCACCCACCGGCAACTTGATTCGCATAAGCCCATGCGGCGGCGATTGCGATGAGTGCTTGGAAGTGGCTGGTGCATCTCCGCGGCCGCGCTAGCCCGCGCTCGCTCGCGTGCGCAGCGGCCAGCTACTTTGGCGCGACCGACACCGCCGCGTCGGCGCTGACTGCTGGGCACTTCCCAGCGGGCTCTTCAGTATGAGCCGGCGACTTGAACGTGCACGGTATCATGGCAACGTCGTCAACGTTAGGCACGATGATGCTAGTAGCAAAGTTGGTGGCGATGATGGCAACGACGACGGCAAGACCAGTGACGGCGCCGATGTTGATCACGCCGACGACGATGACGACGTCTTCGCGTCGGGGATGAAGGTGCTGGCAGAAGTTTGGAATGCGAGCGCGGCCGACGCACAAGAGTGGCCCGCATGGTGTTATTTGACACGGATCGCGCCTCCCCAGCACGCGCGCAAGAGTGCCCGAATGATTTTGGCATGCGGCGCGAGGGGCCTGTTTGTAATAATTCATTGCGCACGTTGAAAGAGAGTACAAACAAACAAACATGGCCCCCAAATAATTCGCAAAACCGCGAGCGCATTTTTTTTTGCCTTGAAATCTTGCCTTGCAGAAACATGTGTCTCGTCTATGTTTCCGGGGCGCTCGATGTGAACCCCCGTAGGACACCCCAAGGTTTTTGATGGATTCCGACATGCGCGCGCGACGACGTGATCGCGCGTTTTTCGCGCCATGTGTTGCAAAGTGGCTCTTGCGAGAGAGAGCGCGCGCAAACGCCTTGGAGCGATTTCGACATGCGCGCGCGAGGGGCCCGTTTGGTAAGTTGTTACGAGCAGGTTGATAACATAACCGATGGGTCTTTTTGTGACTTTGCAAGAGCGCGAGCGCCAGTTGTTTATTTTAAAGCAAATCTCGTTGCGAAACCATGTTGTTTTATATCTTGCCGGGACACTCGACGTCGAACCTCCTTCGAAACCCAAGGTTTTTGAAGGATGCTGACACGCGCGCGACGACGCGCGCGTTTGCAATGTGCCCATCGTTTTCAGTTGTGTTTTTTGAAAACGGATGATTTGTGATAAGCGAGTGCGCGCGCGTAGCATGCCTTGGGGGTTGTCGATACTGGCCTGGCTGGGACGGTACGAATACAGGTCTCACACCTAGGATGGACGATTGGGCAGAAATGTGTTGTAAATTGCACTACGAAAATGGGTGGCGGCGAATTCTTAATCTTATTTTTGAGCGGAGAACCGATTAGGTGTAGTCAGCGTGATGCATTTCATTTTTGCAACCAGGGCCGATCTTTTAATTTCCATGATTCCATGCTCTTGCAAACATGCCACCCACCCGATAGCAATTTTGTTTGCAAAACGCACGCGGCGGCGATTGCAATGAGTGCCTGGCGTTGGCTAATGCATCTCCGCGGCCGCGCTAGCCCGCGCACGCTCATTCGCACAACGGCAAGCCACTTTGGCGCGACCGACGCGGCCGCGGAGGCGTTGACCGTTGGGAAATTCGCATCGGCGCGGTATAATGGCGATGCTGACGACGGTAGACACGATTATGAGAGCAAAGATGATGGTGACGATGTTGGCGAAGACGACGGCAGCGCCAATGACAGCGCCGATATTGATCTTGTCCGCTGGTAGCGATGATGACGTCCTCACGTCGGCGATAAGAGTTTGGCGCGCGCGCGCGGCCAGCCGACGTTCGCGAGTG